AGGGGCCGACTGCTCCTCCCCCGCTCCCCTTGCTCGAAGCGCAATCGTGGGACAAACCCCTATCGCGAGGAAGGGTAGACGGCCTAACACCTTGGGCCTGGAGAAATAGTTGCCAGAGCTCTTTCTCCACCGTTATTTGCTTGCCGTCCCAAGTCACCTCAATCAATTCCGGGTCGGCGCGGGAAGGCTGCGGTTGCTGGCTTATGGGTTAGTCAACGGACATGTCGATGTGATCAACCTCATTGTTTGCCTGCTGCTCACGGTCTTCACCTACAATCTGAGTGATGACGAAACCTTTCATCAGATGAAGGTCCATGGGAGAGGTGTAACGAAACCTAATCCTCTTAAGGACATCCGAATATTCCCTAATCTCTAGCAGCACCCTGTAGTTTTTGAAGTTTGTCTTCGTGGTGACGTCAGCGGAGCAGTACACGCATTGGCCGATGCCCTCAAACAGTGATTGGAGGAACTCCCACTCCCAGAGGTGGTAGGGGAGATTGAAGAGGTGGACCCACGTAAACATGGGGTTGGGCAATGTTCTTAGCCTGAGGTCCTCCCATCAAAGCCTGAATCTGCCCACGAAGGACCCAAGATTTACAGGACTGAGCTCGACGGCTTGATCTAGTAGCTCATCAGAAGGGAATTTAACCATGAACCTATTTACAGATATCCGCTTGATCTCATAGGTCCAATCCTAGACGTTGAAGTGATACCCTAGCATCTCTCTGAGCTCCTCCAAAGATGGCAGACCACCTCAATAGTGAGGAGAGCGAAGGTAGAAAGCTCCTGAATGTTGTTGGCAGCATTATCTGGAACGAGGAGCAATCGTGGAGAGGCGTTTGCTCTCAGACCATGAGGGCAATCCCGGGAGATATGCCCCGAGCCATGGCAATGTATACACGCGCTATCATCGTGAGACATGATCCTTCTAGTTTCAAAACGAAGGTCGTGTAGTTGATAATGAGGCTGAGATGGGGAGAGAATGGCGGTGATGGGAAGATTGATGGCTGCGTCGAATGGTCTTGTCATGGATACAGGCGAAGGGATGAGGGTTAATTGCCGCGTGGTGGCTGGGAATAGCGAGGAGACAAATGATAATACTGCCTATCTTGGGAACATAATCTTCTATGGAATGCATTTAATGCAGAGAGAAACCCACTAACTTTTTCTCTTGATCACCTTGGCAACTAAAAGGCTAAACTTGACGAGAGAGCGCTAACATTAGCAAACAATCCATAAGCTTGACAACAGGACGCTAACCTTAACAACCAATCCATAACCTTGACAACCAGTACATAACCTTAACAACCAGACCATGATCTTAACAACAAAACCATAAGCTCAACAATACAACCTTGTATCATGCCACGTCCTTCATTACCATCATGCTACAACCTTAACAAACAAAAAATTAGCTTATCAACAACCCCATGATATTCTCAACAATTCCCTATGCTCAACAACATAATGAGGACTGCTATAACCTTAGCAATAGACAAATAAGCCTAACAACAGAGCTAAACGTTACAACAGGGAGCTAACCTTAACAACAGGGCGCTAACCTTAGCAACAGACAAATAAGCCTTAACAACCAATACATAAGCTTGATATCAGGGAGCTAACCTTAACAACAGGGCGCTAACCTTAGTAACCAATACATAAGCTAGACAACCAGCACATAACCTTGACAACCAGGCCATGATCTTAACAACAAAACCATAAGCTCAACAATACAACCCCGTGATCTTCTCAACTAATAAGCCTAACAACAGAGCTAAATGTTACAAGGAGCTAATGTTATCTACCATTCCATAAGTTTGACAACAGAGAGCTAACCTTAGCAACCAACACATAAGCTTGACAACAAAGCGCTAACTTTATAAACCAATCCATAAGCTTGACAACAGGTCGCTAACCTTAATAACCAATCCATAAGATTAACAACCAACAAATAACCTTGTCAGCCAGTCCTTGAGCTTAATAACAAAACCATAAGCTCAACAATATAACCATGTATCATGCCACGTCCTTATTTACAATCTTGCTTACAACCCTAACAAAGAAAAAACAAGCTTAACAGCCACGCAGTGATCTTAACAACAAAACACTAAACTCTGTATTTGACAACCTTTTATCAGCCACGTCCTTCTTTACAGTCATTCTTAACAACAAAGAAGCTTATCAACAACCCCGTGATCTTCTCAACAATTCCCTAAGTTCAACAAAATAATGAGGACTGCTATAACATTAACAATAAACAAATAAGCCTAACAATAGATCTAAACTCAACAACAAGGTGCTAAACTTAGCTATCATTCCATAAGCTTGACATCAGAGTGCTAACCTTAGCAACCAAAATATAAGCTTGACAATACAACGCCAAAATTGACAAAAAACACGTAAACTTAACAACCAGTCAATAAAGGTGACAGCGAGTCCATAATATTTTTGATAAAACGTTAAACTTAACAAAACAACCTGTATCAAAAAATAATTTCCTTTACAATCATGCTACAACCTTAAAACAAGCAAATAAGCCTATCAACAACCCCGTAAACTAAACAAATAAGCTCTACAACACGATGACAACTACATGTATTACCATTGTCTCTACTCTAAATTCCATAAACGTGGGTGAATATAACTGGCTCCCTTCAATGAGCTTGTTCAATAACAGGATAGTTAAGATTCATAGGTGCGTGGAATACAATCAATTCAGATGGATCAATGCATGAATCACCTAGGAAGGCATGCGAATGCTGGTGGAGATAGTCTTCTGGCTTACGTTTACACTGTATAGCTATACAATGTTAACGCAAGCCAGATGACTATCTCCACCAGCATTCGCATGCCTTCCCATGTGATTCACGCATGACCCATCTGAATTGATTGTACTCCACGGACCTATGAATCTTAACTATCTTGTTATTGTACAAGCTCATTGAAGGGAGCCACATACATTCACCCACAGCTAATGGAACTAAGAGCAAAAACATAAGGGGATAACATCTTCATCAGCGTGAGGGATATCCAAGATCTTCATCAGGGTGCGCAAACCTTGTCACCATGACCTTCATCGGGGTGAAGACTAGCGTTGATCTTCTGGTTTTAATGGCAAAAAGAAAACTTGTAGGTTTTGGGGAGAGGGTAGCTCGGGCTTTAGATATAAAGGATAGAGGGTCAACAGAGAGTCGGCGATGGGGAGATCGAAGAAAGATTGTGCTGAAAGGATATTTGCTCTACCCTGTAGTTGAACAGGCGAAGGGATGGTGATGTTGCCGCGTGGAATGTGGGGATAGGTAGGAGTCCAGGTTATATTAACTCTCCTCCTTGGGAACTAGGAGGAACATTGAATGCAGTAGCAGAGAATATACCCCGGTGACCATGACAACCAAGCGCAAGTGAATAACAGTAAGGGACATAGAAGTAAACATAACATTCAATCGGTAAACTTAGCAACCAAATAGTAACCTTAACATCAAAACCATGACCTTAACATTTGTAACGATATACTTGACAATAAATCCACATGCATGACAATAAAAAGCATAACTATATAGGCTCGTTCCATTATAAGATTTCTTGGATTCTGACTGTATGATAGCATCAACTATTTGAATGCTAATAACCTTATCTATTCCCCATTGTCAATTCTCTAAGTCCCATAAACTGTGCTTGAATATAAATGGCTTCCACCAAAGAGCTTTCCAGCAGCCTGTTAAGTTCACGAAAAGCTCTTTAGAGAAAGCCATTGCTATTCAAGCCCATCTGATGGAACTTAGAGATAATGACAATATGAAATAAATAAAGGTAATAATATTCAAAAAAGGTTGATGCTATCATATGGTCAGAACCCAGAAATATTGAAGAAGTCTTCATCAGCGTGAGGGCTAGCCGTGATCTTCTGGTTTATGAGATTGGAGAGGGGAAAGCTTAGGATAATCAAGAAAATAGTGAGGACAAATAGAATGGCGGTGATGGGAAGATAAAGAAGATGTAAAGGCGAGGAGAAATGTTATTGGAACAATCCGAGGGATGGTGATATTACTCTACTACCTTGGGAACTATGAAATGCATTGAATGCAGTCAAATCAAAAATATCTCGGTAACATTGACAGCTAATTGCAAGTGAATAGTAGTAACCTTAACAACAAACAAATAAAATTGATAACCAAGTAATAACCTTAACAACCAAGCCAAAACTTCAACATTACAGTGATAAAATTGACTACCAAGTAATAACCTTAACAACCAAGCCATAAAACTTAACAATTTTAATGATATACTTGACAATTTTAACAATCGGTGACACAGACAACAAAGAGCAGGTGGATAACATAAACTTAACATCAATCGATAAACATATCAACCAATCCAAAACTTTAACATTAAAGTGATAAACTTGACAACCAAGTAATAACCTTAACAACCAATCCAAAACTTCAACATTAAAGTGATAAACTTGACAACCAAGTAATAACCTTAACAACCAAGTCAAAACTTCAACATTAAAGTGATAAATTTAACAACCAACCAGTAATAACCTTAACATTAAAGTGATAAACTTGACAACCAAGTAATAACCTTAACAATCAAGTCAAAACTTCAACATTAAAGTGATAAATTTAACAACCAACCAGTAATAACCTTAACAGCCAAGCTATAAACTTATAACTTGTAACTATATACATGATAACAAATCCATATACATGACAATAAAATGCTAAACTATATAGGCTCGTTACAGCTTGCACGATTGTGACCCTTCATGTTGCATCGAGAGCACTTAACAGGACGGGTGTTCAGTGACCTGTTGTTTATTCGTCTAGTGCATGGTCTGCCACGTTTTTTTTTGTGAGAGGAGGCTTCAACACTCGCTCTTCTGGCGGTATAGAGCGCTTCTCGTAATCTGGGATGGGATAGATGATCGGTGCATAGCTTGCTCTGAATGCGTCAACAGTCATGTACCAATCACAATATTGATAAATTTCTCGTCCCATCTATGTAATTGCAGCGCATGCATGTTTGTAGGGAATACGGGTGATGTCCCAAGACCTGCAAGAACAAGTCTGATTCTTTAAATCTACACGGCAAGTTTTATTAGACTCGACCTCCACAATATCTTCCGTCGAATGTTTAATCGCCAAGCAGCTACCATGCTGAATATTATCACACAGCACCATCTCCGCTTCCGGGCATAAGTATCTAGACCATTTCTGACCCAATAGCCTCCTTTCATGCATGTGCTCCATTATTTGCTTCCGTATGGTCTCAACCAAAGGTAAGATTCGCAACAATCGTGTCTTTCTTATCCAGCTGTTGAAGGACTCAGCAACATTTGAAGTAACATGACCATACCTTAACAACAAAATACTAACATTAACAATAAAACCATAAACTAAACATTAAAAGCGTAACCTTAACAACAAATATCCTAAACTTAACAGCAAAACCCTAGCAGAATAACTCTAACCATAACAATAAAAATCTAACCTTAACAGAAAACTGTAGGATAACTCTAACCTAAACAACTATAACGGTGTTGTAATAAAATAACGTTAAAACCAAGCTATCTTACCTTATACCAGGAAAATGCGCATTTGCCCATCTCTCCGGGGAGTATTCCATTACAGTAACGTAAGCCCTGTGATCGATCGCTGCTAATTCTTTCATGTCATTATCCCATTCAGATATTGTGAACTTATAAGCCGCAGATTGTAACAGCTCGCTCAACGTAGTCGCGACATTTGCCTTGTGCCCAAAATCCTTCATCTTCTTTTTGAAATTATCGACTAGATGCAGAACACACCTTGAATGGAATGCATCTGGAAATAATTCCTCAACTGCTGCCCTGATACCCTTGTCGGCGTCGGAAATCATTACCAGTCGATGTGGAGGTTGGTAAGGATTTTCCCTATCATACAGTAACTTCCATAATCCTTGTAAGAACCATTTCCAGTTAACCTCATTCTCTTGGTCACATACGCAATAAGCAAGGGACAATATTCCCTGGTTGCCGTCATACCCAGTAGCGCTAATTAGTATGCCTCTATAACGATCTTTAATAAATGTTTCATCCAAAAACAATAGAGGCCTACACCCAGCAATGAACCCTTCAATACAGGCATTATAACTAATGAACAATCGCCTAAACCTCCCGTCATCAGCATCAATAACAACACGACTCCCTGGATTAGTTGCATGCACCATGGATTCATACCTGCATGAATATAATTAGTTGCATGCACCATGGATTCATACTTGCATGAATATAACAACAAAGCAGTACATTTAGCGAATGATTCATAACCATAACAAATGATCTTCAAACTTCACGGCCAACACGTATACTTAACGACGAACCAATAACTTTAATAACTAATACGTATAGTTAGCACCCAAAACGTAAGCAGTAAATTTAGCAAAGGATTCATAACCATAACAACTGATCTTTAAACTTCACAACCAACAAATACACTTAGTGACGAATCAATAACTTTAACAACTAATACGTATAGTTAGCAACGAAAAAGTAAGCAATAGATTTAGCAACGAATATATAACCATAACAACTGATCTTCAAACTTCGCAACCAACACGTACACTTAGCGACGAACCAATAATTTTAACAACTAATACGTATAGTTAGCAACGAAAACGTAATCAGTAGATTTAGCAATGGATTCATAACCATAACAACTGATCTTCAAACTTCACAACAAACCCGTATACTTAACGTCGAACCAACAACTTTAACAACTACCACGTATAGTTAGCAACGAAAAAGTAAGCAGTGATTTCAGAAGAATAAAAAAGATAAGGACCATCTCAGTGAATCGTAAGCCTCATCGTCATCACCGAACATGTCCTGTTGAGCTGTCTCCTTGCTCCACCACGCTTTACTGTAGTTAATCTTGATGCCAAAATTAGAGAGCATGTCGTTCTTGATATCAACCGCACGTAGATCTGGCCTAACCTTCAAAATAGCTTGTATTTAGCTAGCAATGAACTTTCTTGATGCCCTTGAGTTGCCAGCATTTGCTCCATGTTGACCGCAGGTGTGGGTAGACTCGAAATTCTTTATGGACATGATAGACGAATTTCTGAGTGGGGAAGCAAACAACATCCAAGGGCAACCATGTGTGTGCTTGAATCGGCAATAGACTCGGGAAGCAAACAACATCCAAGGGCAACCATGTGTGTGCTTGAATCGGCAATAGACTCTTATGCGTCTTTATTCATTGTGGTAAAAATAATACTCGAACCGTTTAGCAATTGAATAGTATTGAAGTGCTAATCTAACTTCAGTAGTACTATCAAATTTCTGACCAACTTCACGTATGGAGGTGTGCCACTCAGTTGGGATCTTTGTTTGGTGATTAAGCATGTCTTCCAGTAGCATGATCGAGTCGTCGGTGGGGTTGTCATTAGGAATACGCTCATCATTACAGGTTTGGGTGAACGTAGTATCTGCGCACCGCGAATTTTCTGTCGGTATTGTCCTGAAGTAGTAATAAAAATACATAGCCTTAGCAACGAACTGATAACCTTAACAACGAACTCATAAACGTAACAGCCAACACATATACTTAACAACTAATCCTTATACTTAAGGACAGACTCGTGACCTTAACAACAAACGCATATACTTAACATCAAACACCTTATCTTAGCAACCAACTAGTGTACGTAACAGCCAACAAATAACCTTAACAACCAATGCTTAACATTACCTTGGCAACCAACATATTACCTAAGCAACCAATGCATGAGGTTAACAACTAATGGAAAAACCTATCAGTGAACTCAAAAGAAAATCTAGAGTGTAATTCCTATGCAGTTTCCGGCGTAGTCTGCGTGTTCTGCGAAGTTGAGGATTCCACAGTGGAGGTAGCATACAAATTCGCGTCTGTAAATCCATTACGCCGACAATACTCGAACATCAAATTTAAGTCATCGTCATTGTCAATTGAAATACTAAATTTCTTTTCCCTTTCGCATATGAACTTCAGTGAAAGAGATTGCATTGGTATTTTAAGCCTTTCCGCCACTTGATATCTTAAGCTGATTATTTCTGTATTCTCTTTGATAACGATGAATACACCGTCACCACCTTTGTTGCTTTTTGCCTTCATTACCACGCATAGAAGAGATCTATCCGCCATTTTATTACAGGGAGTGTTTTCGTCAAAAGTTGCCTTTATCATTGATTTCATTAAACTTCAAACGTTACAAATGAATTCAAACAACAAAGAATAAAAATTACAACTTTCTTGAAAATAAACACAAGATCCGTTCGTCGTCTCTTGCTTGCGTGGGTCTTTAGCCTGTGACGGGGATGTCGATATCCGTGGACTACCTGGCAATCAGATCTGATCCAGAGCTTCGTCGATCCGCGAGGAGATCTAGAAACTTGAAGCGCCTATCTCGATAAAAGCGAGATATTTGCTCTTCTTAGTATTACCACAACGGGATAATACTAAGGATCAGGTACGGGTGATGTAGATCTGACGAAGAAACTCTCTTGCGTTAAAGTGCTCGATTACTCTTCACTCCGGCAGGGCTTCGCCAATTCTCCAAAATTCCAGATCTGAAAAAATGAGGCCTAAGGCTTGTATTTATAGGCATGAGGGGTTGCGGAGCGGTTAAAACCGCTTAAAGGGCCCAAATCCACACTGAGACACCCTAGGGGTGTCTTGGCCTGGCCGAGACACCCTTGGGGTGTCTTGACTTGGCCGAGACACCGTAGGTGCCTCAGTTCAGCATTGAGACGTTATCAATGCCCGTTTGACTGTTTTCGCTGTAACCTCTTTGTCTGAACCCGGATCTGAGTGATTCCAAATGCGTTGGAAAGCCGACAAGGAGTTCTATCAGCTCCAATGGTTGGATTATCTGTAGAATGAATGAGAAACGAAGGGCATTGTTCCCTTTGTAAACATTACGGGGCTCCCGATTAGCCCGCACCTTCGTTATTCCGGAATTTTATCAGCTCACGTAGTTCGTCGATTCACTTCAAGCGTTCACCAACATCAATCGAACTCTTGTGAACCGGATAGTGACGTTCATCGTTATTCCTTAACACTGAGCTGTTCGTAGAGACCTATAGGCAATTTTTGATGCCTACAGATACCCCCTCCAAAGCGTTCCGGACTCGTTTCTTTTATAGAAGAGGCTGGAATACTTTGGATGTGATTGGTCTAGCCTTCAGTCGGCGTAAAGGACCTGTAGTTAGCTTCAACTCTTGGCTCCTTCGATTTTCGTTTATCGCCTGGCCGTCGTTGGAGTCTCGAGTCTACCACCGGTGAGTTGAGTTTGGCTCGTGTCATTGAGTTGACTTTGAATTGACTACCTCTGTCATATTGTGCTGACTTAAGGTTTCAGATTATCGTATGTTGACTTTTGGTCACAACGTGTTGACTGGCGTTGACCTAGGGTTACGCGTTGACCGGCGTTGACCCTAAGGTTTCGAACGTCGAACATTGACTTTTTGGTCGCAACGCGTTGACTGGCGTTGACCTAGGATTACCCGTTGACCGGCGTTAACCCTAGGTTTCGAACGTCGAATGTTGACTTTTTGGTCGCAACGCGTTGACTGGCGTTGACCTAGGGTTACGCGTTGACTGGCGTTGACCCTCGGGTTTCGAACGTCGTACGTTAACACAGTTTATACTCGTATGTTTACTGGAGTATACACAATTTAAGCTCTTAAGGTATTGGAGCACGGCGGTCCCAAGTGTCGGAGCTGCAGGACCAACTGTTAAAGCTGATTCATCTGCATGTATAGATCTTATCCTGAAGTTGTTGGATGCTCAAGTCACGAGACCAACTAATGGAGCTGGTGCGTCAATGACTTGCATTTATAGAATTTTTGGCAAATCCTCAGCCATCAACGGGTTTGATGGGCCTTTACCGACTACCGTTTGAGTCGGGCTAGTATGCAGATTGTTTAAGTTCGTTCCGCATGTGACGTTAAGCTAAAAGAGTTAACCCTTTTAGTGCTACGATATTGAATACGTAGACTTCGTCTTTCTCATGTGAAAAGACTAAACAACAACGTGTATTGACTTAGGATTTTTGGCAAATCCTCAGCCCTCAACGGATTTGACGTGCTCTTACCGATTACCGTTTGAATCGGGCTCACATGCGGATTGTCTAAATCCCGTTCCGCATGTGACGTTGTGCTAAAGGAATAAACTCCCTTAGACTTGATGCTACGACTTCGAATACGTAGACTTCACCATTGTTACGGGAATAGACTACCCGGCAACGCGTGTTAGGCGCTGACTTATTCTTACTTAGGATTCAGGATAAAAATCCCCAGACTCGGATTCTGGTGTCTTCTTCAATCGGTAAAAGACTAAACCGGCAACGCGTGTTAGGCGTTGACTTATCCCTGCTTAGGCTTCGGGATAAAATTCCTCATGCGTGTGAGGTACGGATTATGGTGTTATTAATAACAACCTGCCACAATGTTGAATATGTGGTCTTTTGTCCTTTTTACGGTCAAAGACTAACCGGCAATGCGTGTTAGACATAGACTTTGGGATTTTTGGCAAACCCCCAGCCTTCAACGGGTTTGATGTGCCTTTACCGATTACCGTTTGAATCGGGCTAGCATGCGGATTGTCTAAATCCGTTCCGCATGTGACGTTGTGCTAAGAGAGTGAATTCTCTAAGACTTTGTGCTATGACGCCGAATGCATAGGCTTCGCCTTTGTTACGGGAACAGGCTACCCGGCAACACGTGTTAGATGTTGACTCGTCCCTACTTAGGCTTCGGGATAAAATTCCCCAAGTTTAGACCTTGGTGTCTTTTTCAATCGGTGAAAGACTAAACCGGCAACGCGTGTTAGGCGTAGACTTATCTCTATTTAGGAGTTAAGATAAAATTCCCCGTGCACAAAGTGCCCGGATTGGAAATTGAAAATTGTGTCCTTTATCAGAATAAAGACGGATTGGGAAACGAGAGAGGAAGAATTTTATATTCTATCTCCCGGGACTGAAGAGGAAGAATTTTATATTCTATCTACAGTCGAAAAGGAAACTCAAGGTGGGATCTCCACCCTCAGAATCCGAAAAGATAAAACTAAGAGTGGGATCTCCCCTCCGAGAATCAGAAAGGTTCGAACGACCCTAACTTTTATAGGATTGGTCATTTGAATCAAAAGAATCCCTCATTCATTGAGGAGAAAGCCCAATTTCGACCCTAACTTTTATAGGTTTGGTGGAAAAAGGAACAAAGGCGAAGTCTTTCGTTTATCGAAAAGGATAACTCAATCTTAGTCCTAACTATCTGCAGGTTTGACTAAGTAAAGTTGGAGACAATCCTAACTTTTATAGGTTTGATTGCTCAATTGAAAGTGGACCTCTCGTTCATGAAAGGAATCGAGAGGAGAATCTGGTTGTGGCCCTAACTTTTATAGGTTTGACCAAGGAAGCAGTGAAAGTGGGAGGTTTGAGATGATCTTACCTTTTACAGGCTTGATCGTTCAATTTGAAAGTGGACCTCTCGTTCATGGAAGGAATCGAGAGGGGACTTTGGTTGTGGTCCTAACTATAGGAAGGTTTGACCAGGTAGACAGTGAGAGTGGAAGTACAAATCATAGTGGGGGTTTAGTGTTTATCACCTTGTTCGTAATTATCGGGTTATCCCTAAGAAAATTACATATAGCGTTCTTCTGGGAACTTCCCATTACATGAATCATCCACCCCCAGCTTCTTTCTTGGAACTGGGTCTGACTTTGTACTCCGTTACATGTCCGGGTTATCCTTAAGAATATTAGCGTAACATTCTCCAGGAACTTCCCATCAACGGTAGGAAACAGTTTAGACTCATATACCTATTGGAGTATCAGGGAGCAGTTTAACCTCATATACCGATTGGAGGATTGAGAAGCAGTTTATACTCGTATACTCTTCGGAGTATTGAGAAACAGTTTATACTCGTATACTCTTCGGAGTGTTGAGAAGCAGTTTATACTCGTATACTCTTCGGAGTATTGCCGTTCTTATTTGGCTTATCCTAGCGTTATGACGCCGGCTTCAACCAAGGTTTGGATGCTATTCTTTAAAGTAAAGCAAGCCTTGGTAGGATGAATGATCCTCCTGTGGTACGCACAGTAGCTTGGTAGAATTCGATATGCTGTTGAGCTTCTAAACGCTTCTCATCTAGCCTTTCCAATTCTTCAAGGCTCTTCTGATGTTGCTCTTCGGTCGTCATTTGAGTCGCGAGGGCAATTCGAAGTGACGGGATTTGAATCTTCAATGGAAGAACAGCTTCACATCCGTATACCAGTGAATACGGGGTTGCTCCCGTTGGTGTACGCACCGTGGTCCGATAGGCCCATAGAGCCGCGCCAAGCTTGTCATCCCAGTCTCGTTTATTAGTTTTCACGAGTTTTGATAAAATCTTTATGATAGTCTTATTGAAGGCTTCGGCCAATCCATTTGCTGTGGGATTGTAAGCTGTTGATGAGATGTCTTGAATTTTGAACTTTAACCTGATGAAGGCGTTGCTGACGAATTGAGGACCGTTGTCATGTACGATTCGTCTTGGTACACCATGCCGGTAGATGATATGGTGCTTGATGAATGCAATGACATTGCTCGTTTTAACTTCTCTGAGTGGAACTGCCTCAGCCCATTTGGAGAAGTAATCGGTAATCGCTAGGATGAACCGGTCACCTTTGACTGACGGGGGATTTATAGGACCAACAATGTCCATTCCCCAGGTCTCAAACGGCCATGACGTAACCGAAGGATGCAGATGCTCCGGAGGTTGGTGCATATAATTCGCATGTATTTGACATGCATCACACTTTCGGGCATACGCGATTGCATCACTCATCATGGAAGGCCAAAAATATCCCATTCTTCTGATGCGGTCATAAAGTTTGGGACCAGGTTGGTGTGCACCACACTCTCCTTCATGTGCTTCTCTAAGGACTTCCTCAGCTTCTTTAGTCGACAAGCAGCGTGCCAGCAATCCATCGTACCCCCTACGGTATAGCGTTCAATTCTCCGTATTATAGTAGAATCTTAGTGCCCTTCGTCGGATTGACTCTCTTTCCTTTACGTCTTCCGGTAGTATTCCGTGCAGGACGTAATCGATGATGGGGAAACGCCAATCTCGGGGTTCAAACTCAATTTGGGTTGAGTGTGTTTC